ATGAAAAATAAAAAATGTTGATATAAATTTTATAAAAATCGGATCAAAAATAAAAAAGTTATTATCATTTTTAACAACAAAAACAAAAAAGAAAAAAAAAAATCTGATCCTACGTCGTTTTTGCAACCGGACGCACCATGGCCATATAATTTGCGCAAGGAAGTTGAGGCCGCTCTAGGAGCAATTCATCATGGCGGACATGGATAGTCATCTATATGTAAAGTAAACAATGGTGAAAAAAGCACGCTTCATAGTGAAATGCAAACAATTTAAAACTTATTTTTGAATAAAATTGAATGTAACAATACCCAAATAAAAATATAAAGTAAAAAACATCATAGGTCGCATCTCATGAAGACCGGATTGTATATAGATTCTTGATTAATTGATTCATCCAATCAACCAATTTAGTGTTGACAAAAGGACTCTTAGCTTATTCAAATGAATTTACAATTGCATTAATTTGTGAGTACTTCCTTGCATTTGTTTTTATCCCAACACTCACAATATAATAATATATACTCCATCAAGCAATACTACTTGAAATATATGTTAATGGTTAAACTTAGAGAGAATTCCCTAAATAGGAATAAAAAAAATTTGAAATTCTAAAATAGGATTATCATGTTTTTTTTCTAAATAGAAGTAAATTTCTACCAAATTTGGAAGTTTTTTCTCAAAATAATGTTAAATAAAAAAATAATTTCAAAAATAAGGGTCAAGTTAAAAATATTTCCCAAAATACTCCCCCTAAACCCTGGTCAAGAGAACCCCGCCAGAAATGCACCCATACCTAAAACAACCCACGTTACAAGACATCCCACATAAAGTGGAGACTCATGTAGACAATTTATATTGTGGTCCCACAAAATAAAATCTCATTTGTACTTCAAAGTGATATATCTTTTTCATTTATATTCAGATAATTATAGAAAATACACCAAACTTCATAACTTTTTATTATCTTTCATATAACACCAAGATTGAATATATAAAAATAACAAAATAAATTAAGACTTTAAAAATATCTTTTTTTTGTAAATGTTACAGTATATCTTTTTTATTTGTTCCTCGATTGTCACAAAAAATATAACAAAATCCATAAATAAATATTATCTTTCATAATTCACCAATTTTAATAATATAAAAATTAAAAAGTTAAAACTATTGATTTGTGCAGTTAGAATCGTTTTTTTCGTGCACACAAGTAATCAAGAGTAATAGCTTAGAATAAAATTGCACAAACTCAATCACCTTTATTTATTTTTTATTCTTTATGAAGTTTTATTCTAAGCTATAACTCCTGATTAATTATGTGCACAGTAAACATTACTAGGCTTTAAACATGATATGTTATTTTTTTTCAAAATTGGCAGATTACTCTTATTCAATGATTAAAAAACATGATAGTCATATTTTGGAATTTCAAACCATTTTTACTCCTATTTAAGAAAATTTCTGTTAAACTTATCTAAATTTTATGTTATGTTGTTTATAAGAAACCTTTCAAAATGTTAGACTGACGCAAGCCATTGTAATATTCTCTATAAATTTCTTCTTCTCTGGGAACATCGTCTCCACCAGCTTTTACCGACTATTCCTAATCAAAACTTCTTATATCATTTTTATTATATACTACATTTGTTATTCTTAAATACAATCATATTCGATTTATATAAAAAAAGAGAGAATTCTTTAAATAGGAGTAAAAAAGTTTTGAAATTCCAAAATAGGAGTATCATGTTTTTTATTCTTTGAATAGGAGTAATTTTCAGCCAAGTTTGACATTACTAGGCTTTAAAACATGGCATTTTTTCCAAACTTGACAGATTACTACTATTCAGAGAATAAAAAACATGATACTTCTATTTTAGAATTTCAAACCGTTTTTGCTTCTATTTAGAGCAATTTCTATAAAAAAACTTTCACTAATAACGTTAACAAATAATAAAATATAAAGGGTTAATTATCAAAATAGGACTAAAAGTCACCCACTTTGCATAAATAGGACCTAAAAATAAACTATGTTTTCATAGGACTAATCATGTGTGTCTTGGACAAATATACCCTTATAGCTATTGAAATGTTTTAATTCATAATAACATAATAAAAAATAATATAAATTCGTAAAAAATACTAAAAAATTAATAAAAATATTTACATAATAATTTATTTATTTATTAAAAAAAAACTCAAAAAAATTAAATAAAAATTCAACCTAGCCGCTGCCGCCGCCGCACCACCACATCCAATCACCAAGGGGGAAATGCCAAGTTCATTATGAATGTCATATTTATGGCAGAAAAAAATGAAAATAATGACATTCTCAAAGAGAAATATGCCATGTTTTTGGTGTTTTTAGAAAAAAATGGCAGTTTTTAGGAAAAATGGCATTTTTTTCACCGACCGGAGATGGTGGTACAGGGAGGTAGTACAGGCGATGGGAAAGACATCCATATTTTTTTAATTTTTTTATGGAGTTTTACTATTTTTTATTAATTTTTTTTAAAAAAAGAAAAATTAAAAAAAAATATTTTTTAATTTTTTATTTTATAAATATTTTATAAATTTTTAATTATTTTTCTATGAATTTTTGAACTTTTTCGAATTTATTATGAATTAAACATTTAATTAACTCATATTTAAAGGAAGGGTAAGAATGGAATGAAAAAATAGGTATGTTTCCAATAGGATTAATATGGTCCTATTTTGAAAAGAAAAACATAGTAAGCCCTATTTTGAGTTTTCGCCATAGTTTTAGTCCTATTTGGAGTAATTTCTAAAATATAAATGGTGTTTAATTTTGATCTGTGCATCGCACAGGTGATAATCTAGTACTCCCTCCGGTCCTTAATTAACTGTACACTCTCCTTTTTGGACCGTCCCATATTAAACTTTACACTTCTTTACTTGCTTTATTTGGCAAACAAATCTACAGCAAACAGTGTCAAACAGTGTCAAACAATGTACTCTACAGTAAAGTCAAATTTATTTCCTTAATATGTGTGAAGTCAAAGTGTACACTTCATTAAAGACCGGAGGGAGTATATGTATACACACACATGTCAAAATTTAAATATAATTAGTATGAATTTATAAATTTAAATATAATTATTAATGAAACAAGTTCTTGTCGAATTATTCGAGCACGAGCCAATTAAGAGCCCGTTTGGTAGCACGAAAATCGGCTGATTTGGCTGATTCTGCTGAAATTTATGAAATTCTGGTTGAAGTGGCTGCATTGGCTGATTCTGCTGATTTAAGAAAAAATACTTTAAAATATATTTTATTAATAAAATAGAAAAAATTATATGTAAAAATAGCTAAAATGGTCATCTACAGTAACTTCAGCCAATACAGTCAGAAAAGTAACTCCAACCTTACTTTTTCTGCTTATTACACAATTCAACGCGCGAAAGCAAAAATTACGTGTTTGGTTAAAAAGTTGGCTGATAAGCCTGATAAACCAATAAACAGTGTTACCAAACGGCCTCTAAAGAGTATAACCTAAAATTTTAAACTTGAGCATATTTGTAGAGTTTATCGAGCGATTGGTTCTAACTTCGAACCCCTATAAAATCAAACACAAGTTTCATTTGTAAAGTTGGTTGAGTTTCAAACTAGAACCCGGACATCACTATTAACAAATCGAGCCGAATTAGAGTCGAGCTCAGAGTGTTCGGGCTCGACTCGTTAAAAGGGCTAGTCTAGTCCTCTTGTATGTGTATACTGTCGCATGAAGCGCTCATCTCAATATCCCACTGTATAAGAATTGTCTTCAATGGCCAATCTCATTATCCCACTATAGAAATTGTGTTCAATGGAATATTGAACGTGAAAGCTTAATTCAAATATCGGAGTTTTTTTCTGGATTAATGCTAATTAATTAATTAATTACGAAATTAGGGATGGGTTAAAAGTTATTATCGATATACTGCTGGGAGTAACCATGGTCGGGTAAAGTCGCTAAATCGTTTGACGACTTATAAGTCGCCATCCGGTTTGGCGACTTATAAGTCGCCAAACGGGTTGGCGACTTATAAGTCGCCAAACGGGTTGGCGACTTTGCATTTCCCCAAAAACTGATAGTGTTTGGTCTCTGTGTATTTTATAACAATCCAAGTTTGGTCTGTATCGATCTGGTCTGACTTGGTCTAGTTTGGACTGAGACTGAAAACAATCCAAGTAAAAACATCCTTAACGTTAACACAAAAAAGATGTTTGTATTTAGTTTCTTTTCAGTCTAGACCAGATATTTATCAAACCAGACCAGACAACTTCAGACCTGATCACACTAGACTTAAAACATACCATACTCAAATTGATTGAATGGGTAGGATTTGCTAAAATTTATATAGTTCTGGTTGAAGTGATCAAATAGGCTGAATTATGAAAAAAATTATTTAAAATATATTTTATTAACAAATTAAAGAAAAGATTATATACTTCTTATAAAATAGCTAAAATGATTCTCTATAGTAAGTGCAACCACTTCAAAAATACCTTAATCTTACATATTTTGATTGTTGTACAATCCGGTGCACAAAATCAAAATCAAAGTTACATATTAAGTGAAAAAATTACTACCTCCGTCCCGTTGGAAGGTTCTCATAGCAAAACGACACAGTTATTTAGAAAATAATTAAATAAAGTACTTCGAGTATATTTTGAGAAATAATTTTAATATGTATATATTATAATGTAGTTAATATTGATAACTGTGATGTTATAAATGTATATTTTTAATATTTAATGATTAATTTGTCACTGAAGATTTTTAATTATTTCCTAAAATGAAAATAAGAACCTTTATATCAGACGTATTGAAAAGTAAAGCCAGAACCTTCTAAAAGGGAATTGAAACATAAACACCAAACTGGACCTCAACTTACCAAAGATATTTGGTAAAATGAAAACTTACCAAAAAAGATGTGTCATCATCAAATAAAAAAGAAATATATGCGGAGTATCGCACTCCATGCTCTGTCGCGTAGAATAGTATCTCCCTCCTTCCACAGTCTGTTATTTTTTGTATTTTTGTATCTTCCCCGTCGCCTCTATCACTTCCATAGCTGCGAACGTACTGTCCCTTCGACTACTGTGAGCCTGTAAGGGTTGCCTTGCCGTTTCTCTTCCCGAAATCCTCGGCTCCGTTGCTGAAGCTCTCGGCAGCTTTCATTACTTTCCGGTAAGCACTATAGCGCACTCAATATCCCCATATATTGCTTGGCTATACCTTGTTCTCTACCTGCATTGTGCTTCGGCGGCTTCGCTCTGTACATCTGTATTAGGGTTTGTAGTTGGGGTTTTGAGGTTTTCTTAGAATGTCAATAAAAGCTGTAAAACGAAAACAACCAGCAAAGCCATCAGCAAAAGATAGTTCTCGTAACCTCACGTCATGTGTTCGTCTGTTGCCGGAGAGTATGATGATATTATCGTTGTTATTGTAGCGTGACTAGTGGAGTTCTACTCATTTATGAACTGTTGAATAAAAAATATATGGTGTCCGAGTTCTTCCGCGTTTTTCCCCCAAGTGGTAAGGTGTTGGGTTACGGTTAGACTCCCATCCTCAAATTTCTTTTCCATTTTTTCTATTTTATTTCTTCCATTCTTATTTTTTTTTTTGTCGATTTGGGATCCTTTTTACTTGCGTCTAAACTGGAATGGGTGGCCCCAGGTGGCCGGGGGTGGTTTTGGCCACTGGTGGCCGTTGCTGCTTAGATGGTGTGCATTGAGAATTCCCAATAACAAACACTAGACGTAGTGTTTGTTCTGAAGGCACTAATAATAGTATTGGGAAGGAAGTCATGTTTAGTCACATGCCCATGATTAAGTAGTACTCTGTTTTTTTTGGGGTTTTGATATCATCCTTCTTACAACTTGGGTTGTATTACAGTTAATAAGAAAAATAATAATTTTTTGGAAGTGAAGCTTGTAGGTTACTATGTTGCATGTTCGTCCAGCATTTGTACAAATGGCACACATTGGCTTCAAAGAGGAACCTGCAAATGAAGGTATGTAAATGCAACCGTCTCCAAGTTGAACCATTGTTTTTGTCATTACTTAATGATCTAGGACATTCATTCTCCTCCATATGTAATAATGAGTGGGCTTCTGACCACATTTCTTCATAAGAGTGTCTTTAGAGTTTAGCATCATATATTTAGCGCAACGTTATCCTAAAGACTAATGCATTAAGAAGAGTCATCTCTGGATGCAGATTATTCATTTTAGTTTATTCACAGTGCTCAGATGTGGATAATTTCGCAATCTGCATTATAACCATAAAAGACAACTTATTCATAGATTCTTGCAATGTATATTTTTTGTTTGCTTATATAAGCATTGTGAAACCCATCTGAATGAACTTGTGGTAATTATCATTCGTAGATGGACCCGAACAGTACGTCATTCTTATGAAGGACAACAAAACTATATCTCGAGCACAATGCAAAGACCAACCTGGTAACTTGTATGTGGACCTTTTCAAATGTGTTGTTTTAGGGAATTTGATTTGTTCCCAATTTGATGAAATGCCATTCTAGTATAATTTGAACAGTCACGTCCTTATATCCATATGACCATATCTTAAATGATACCGAAATTGCAATTTGAACTTTTGGAGTTGTTGTTCTATACTCATTATTACTATGCTAGAAGCAGGAAGAGGTTGCCTAGTGTTAACTTTCTCTTTCAGAGAATGTCCATTTGATCTAGTCGCGGTGTCCTCTTTCTTCATCATTCATTTATTTACTAGACTAGAATTTGTAGTTAAGAAAGCATGACTATTTGCAGTAAAATTTACAATATCTTAAGTGTTCAATTTTCCATCCTCGATGATATGATATAAAAGTTTGGTCGTTTCAATTCTTTCTATTCTAAAGTGAATGTTTTTTGCCCACTAATTGTGAAATTCTGAACAGGGGTGGAGTATGGGACATAAAGACAACTGTGCGTCAGAGTGCTTTAGAGCTTCTCCCTGGATCACAATGTTTCTTCTTATACTGTGACCCTCAAAATGATTTTCAGAAAAATGAATGGGGAAAGTTCATGACTTTCCTTCATAAACATGAAAGGGTGACCATCTCTTGTCCCTATTAGTTAATCATAGCATTGTATTCATTCTTTCCATATAACCACGAGTCCCTTCTGCTCTCTATTTCTCTAGGGACATACAAAATGTATTCTAATATATCCAAAAAGCAACTAGTATGCCACATTGCCTTTAACTTTTAGTCACAACTATAGAGTGGAATAGTTGAAATACTGTTTAGTTTGTCTGTTCTGATCTCTAATTACACCGTGGGGGTGCAGATTAGTAGATTGAAACACTTAAAAATTTTCTCTCTTATCATGGTTTTCTCCGACACCAAATTCTTTTGAAACTAAGGCTTGGATGTTGTTTTTGTGTCCTGGTTTTCAATCTTTTGGAGATGACAAAAATTAACTCACGTTACCTTTTTAAAATTCCAGTCCAATGGAATTTTCTTTCTTAGACCAATGGGGGGACGCTGTGCTGTTATTATTTGTTTTATTTTGTGGTATGACTGGTATCTCTGGTTTTCTTTATTCCATGAATTTGAACTTTGAAGGTTGCTGTATGCCGACATGGTATCTATGAACTCTACGTACTTTCTCCTTTACATAGCTCAGATTTCACACGCACAGCTGTTGCTTACCGGGTGGTGGGAAACCCCCTCCTTAATGATATTCAAATGCATCATCCAGTTGGTTAGTATTAATTCTTGTCACTTTTGAGGAATAGATTTTCTATTTGTTCATGATGGCCGGTCCAGTTGTTTCTGCAATATCATGTACTTCTGGATTAGTCTAAAGGAATAGTTAATAGCACATTACTTCTGCAATATCACATATTACAGTTAATACGTATGGAATATCATATTTCGGACATGTAATTTAGTTACACCACATTACTGCTATATCTTAATGGCTAATAAAATCTGTTTATTATGATGACAGCTAGGGTTGCGTTAAAGTCAAGAGACCAGATTGTGAATGATTATAATAAACCAATCAACACTCGACAACCTAAATTCGAATTGGGAAAAAGTTGCACCCAGAGTAGACATAACTCCTCTGGTGAGGCTGCTATATCATGTTCTGGTGCGGTTGTTAACTCGACGAGCAGGAGTCCTGAAAAAAAAGACAAAGGATCATCACTAAAAAACTATGTACGCACTGATCCCAGTTTTTTGAAGACGCTAGGTCATACTCATTCTGGTTGGGTCTTTGGTGCAATTGCAGAGCTTGTTGATAATTCAAGAGATGCAAAAGCCACCAAGTCAGTAAACATATCCCTTTTACTTTTCAAAACTTTTGTTTTTGCTTCTGAATTCAAATTTATTTGAACTTCCATTTACCATTGTGCATCAAAAATTTAAAGTACTTGTTAGCTAATGAAGAGACACAGAACTGTTTAACAATGATTTTTTTCAATTTTCACCATCATCATCATTACCCCAATGATTTTGTCAATTGTAATGTATATGAATATATATAAATAGTTTTGGTTTTTATACTTGTTCTTATCTTTAAATTTTGTGCAGGTTCGAAATTTCTGTTGGTTTGGTTTATCTGAAATCTGTTGGTGAGGAAATTCCTATGCTCTCTGTTGTAGATAATGGATGCGGTATGAACCATCAGGGGATTTTGAAAATGATATCATTTGGGCACCAACAACCAGAAGAAGACACCAATCGCATTGGGAGGTTTGGCGTTGGATTTAAGGTAAATTGTTATTTATCTTCAGTCTTCACTAAATGAAAAGTTGAGGGCCTGTTTACTAAAAACAGGAGCAAGGAAAACAGAAAAACGCGTTTACCAAACCGTTTTCCAAAACGAAAAAAATGAGACATCTCTCTTTTCCCTAATGATTTGGAGAAATGACTTTTACTAGTTTTTCAAATTTGGAAAACACGGATGCTAAAGGCCGCCGCAATGAATTTTCATACTTACACCTAGTGGTGGGTCCGGTCCCGCTCTGATGTCGATTCCATTCTAGTACCTCCATCCTCGTACCTTACCGCTTACCCCTACCTTACCCCTTCCCACATGCCCCTTACCTCGGCCCCACCCTACCGCCATCCTACCCCCACCCTCATACCACCATCCTACCTCCACTCTACTGCCATCCTACCTCCACCACCATCCTACCCCCACCCTACCTCTTCCCCTACCTAGACCCCACCCTGATCCCGACCCCACCCTACCTCCATCCTATCCCAACTCCCTACCCTACCCCTACCTTACCCCAACCCCAACCCTACTCACTACCCCCACCCTTACCTCTAACCACCACCCTAACCCACCCACTACCCCACCCAACCCCGTACCCCTAGACCTTACCACCCCACCCCACCCATCGCCACCCATACTTTCCTTCCCTACCCCGACCCCTACGAGTAGATATGGGTGGGTATGAAGGGTTTTAGGGGAGTATGGGTAGAGTGTAAGATCGTGGTAAGGGTAGCGGTATGGGTCAAGGGTGTGGAATTGGGTGTAGGGTGGGGGTACAAGGTATATGGGCAGGGTAGGGGTTAGGAGTATGGGTACACGTACGAGGTGATTGACCCCACATATTATATTATATATTTGTGTTCATGAATGTTTGTGTGTCTATATATGTATAGGGTTATTTTGGACATTTTAATGTTAAACGATGTTTTAAACTTTTTGAAGTAAACATGATCTTATAACATTGCTGATTTTATGCGTCGCTTATTAACACGAGTCTTAATAAGCACCATTTAGTAATCCGTGAAGTAAACGTGCCAGTCTTCTGGATGATCACAAAACTGGGTGAAAATTGATGAACATGTTTTCAGATTTGAAAATAGAAAACTAGAAAATAGAAACAAAAAACTGGAGATGGAAAAACTTAAAAAATAAAAACAGAAAATTGGAGAATGAAAAACAGAAGTAGAAAATAGGAAAATATCTCTGTTAGTAAACAGGCCTCAATCATTTCACTAGTCCCCCACACCATATAAGCTATGGATAATAGGTCTAAGTGAAATTGGTTAATGTAGAAAAATGTAACACATACTTGTTATTTTAATTACTTGTACATCCGGGACTGTATAGATAAGAATTAGAGTAGACAGAACTCTCTAAATAGTAGATAAGCTCACAGAATAGATAGAATAGATAGATCCTATTTTTTAGGATCTGTAACAACTTAACTTTATCTGTAACTTGTATATATATCATAGCCGGATGGCTCAATAATAATCCAAGGAAGTTTTATTCCTAAAACTTACATGGTATCAAAGCAGGTTGTTTAAACACCACAATGGTGGAAACCGAGCAATCTGACTCTTCTTCCCACTCACAAACCCATAACCCTAACTCTCCAAATAGCTCAATGACAAACTACCAGAACTCAGTCCATTCATCTATGCTCATTACTGGCCATAGATTGAATGGCACAAATTATCTCGAGTGGTCACAGTCTGTCAAGCTGGCTATTGATGGAAGGGGCAAGCTAGGGTACATAACTGGTGAAATAGAGGAGAAACAAACTGGTGATGATGGCTACAGTGTCTGGAGGTAAGAAAATTCCTTGGTGACAACATGGCTTCTAAGTTCAATGGATGCATCAATTGCCAAACCTCACATGTTCATGAAAACTGCAAAGGAGGTATGGAATTCCATTAAGGAAACTTACTCAGATCTTGAGAACTCTTCTCAGATTTTTGAATTAAAAACAAAGTTGTGGCAGTCCAAACAAGGCAATAGAGATATCATCTCTTACTACAATGAGATGGTATCCCTATGGCAAGAGTTGGATCAGTGCCATGATGATGAGAAGTGGGAGAGTGCCAAGGATCTAGCAAGACACAAAAAAAGGGAGGAAAATGATAGGGTCTACATGTTCCTAGCAGGAATTAATAGAGATCTAGATGAAGTTAAGGGGAGGTATTTGAAAAAAAAACCTCTACCCTCTATCAGGGAGGTATTTTCTGAAATCAGGATGGAGGATAGCAGGAAGAAGGTTATGTACAGCATTCCAGTACATAATGAGGAATCTAGGGACTCTTCAGCAATGGTGGCTAGGAGTGATGACAAGAAAAAACCCTGGTGTGATCATTGCAAGAAATTATGGCACACTAGGGAGACTTGTTGGAAAATTCATGGCAAACCACCAGGGGCAGGAAAGAAAAAAACTGAGAACGCCCTACAAACAACTGTGACTGAGACTCAACAAGAACCACAAGTCAAGTTCAATCAGCTTTCATTCACTCAGGAGCAGATAGGGCAACTTCTTAACTTCCTTAATTCCCAGAAAACCCAAAATTCCCAGAAAGAATCCAAACCAGAATCTTCCTCTTGTTCTTATGCCCAAAATGGTACCTATTCATCATTTTTTTGTTCTGGGAAATCTAAAAATACCTGGATTATTGACTCAGGGGCTACTGATCACATGACTTCTATTTCAAATCTTTTTTCTTCATATAAACCTAGTGCAGGAGATAAAAAGGTTAAGGTTGCAGATGGTTCTCTATCAACCATTGCAGGGATGGGAAATATTAGTATTTCCTCATCACTGAATCTATCCAAAGTCCTTCATGTCCCTAATCTATCCTGCAATCTTACTTCAGTTAGTAAAATAACTAAAGATCTTCAATGTTGTGTCATTTTTTATCCTTCTTATTGCATTTTTCAGGACCTAGCATCGGGGAAGATGATTGGCAGTGCTAAGGAGGATGGACTCTATATCTTTGATGGAGAAACTCAATCTAATAAAAGAGGTCTAAGAAATGTTTGTTTGCAAACCGTTTCTTTTTCAAATAATAAAGAGTTGTATTTACTTCATTATAGACTAGGACATCCTAGTTTCTATTATTTAAAAAAGATGTTTCCTCAATCATTTCTGAATAAAGATGCTTCTTTGTTTAATTGTGATATGTGTGCACTTGCAAAACATCACAGAAACACTTATTTACCCCACAGTTATAAACCTACTAGCCCTTTTACCTTGGTACATAGTGACATTTGGGGTCCATCTAGAATACCAACCTTAAAGGGAAAGAGATGGTTTGTAACTATCATTGATGATCATACTCGTGTCACATGGGTATTTTTAATCAAAGAAAAATCTGAAGTTGAGAAAATATTTAGAACATTTTATGCTATGGTCCAAACTCAATTCAATACCAAAATTAAAATGGTAAGAAGTGATAATTGCCGTGAATATTTTTCTCAAACTTTAAACAACTTTTTTACTGAAAAAGGCATTATTCATCAAAGCTCTTGTGTCAATACACCAGCTCAAAATGGAATTGCAGAAAGGAAAAATAGACATTTGCTTGAAGTCACTCGTGCAATCATGTTTTCAACGAACATACCAAAATATTTGTGGGGAGAAGCAGTGTTACATGCAACTTATTTAATTAATCGCATGCCATCCAAAACTTTAGGATTTAAAAGTCCTATTAGTTCACTACAACACTTCTTTCCTACAAATAGATTGGTAAACACCCTTCCTTTAAAAATTTTTGGTTGCACAATGTTTATCAAAAATCCAGATAGATCTGCAAGTAAGTTTGATCCTAGAGGAAAAAAATGTGTTTTTCTAGGCGTTTCTGCCACTCAAAAAGGGTATAAATGTTTTGATCCTACAACCAAAACAATGGTTGTTACTATGGATATTATTTTTATGGAAGAACAACCTTTTTTTGATTCTCATCTTCAGGGGGGAGAAATTAAGTGAAGCTGTTCCAATAATGCCAAATATTCATGAAAATTTTAATTTTCTTGATATTAAACAGGATGATAATTTCTTTAGAAATATTAGTACACCTGAAAATGATCAAGGAATAAAAAATAATGAAGTAAATCTAACTGAACCAATTGAAAAGGATCAACAGACAAGTCAGTTCTTTGAAAAAACTTATGAGAGAAGGGTTAGAAATCAAAGAATAGAGGAAGTCCAAGAACCTACAACTGTCGATGATTCTGCCTCAATGTCAGGAAGTGAAAAAGGTAATACTTCTAGCAACTTTGACCTTCCTATTGCTCTCAGAAAAGAGAGAAGAACATGTGTTAAATACCCCATCTCAAACTATGTTTCTTATTCTAAATTGACATCAGACTTTGCAGCCTTTACCTCCAATATGTCTTCTATCTCTATTCCTACAACCATACAGGATGCTCTATCTAAACCTGAGTGGAAGAAAGCTGTTTTGGAGGAGATGGAGGCTCTTGAAAAGAATCAGACATGGAAGCTTGTAGAGTTACCTAAAAATAAACCTACAGTTGGTTGCGGGTGGATTTTCACCCCCAAGTTTAAGGCAGATGGAAGTTTGGAGAGGTATAAGGCAAGACTAGTTGCCAAGGGGTACACACAGACCTATGGAATTGATTACAAAGAAACCTTTGCACCAGTTGCAAAGTTGAACACTGTAAGAATTCTTTTATCTCTTGCTGCCAATTTAGACTGGCCATTACAACAACTGGATGTAAAGAATGCTTTTTTAAATGGGAAACTTGAAGAAGAAGTGTACATGGAACCTCCTCCTGGGTTTGAAAATAAGTTTGGGTTAAAAGTTTGCAGATTAGAGAAGGCTTTATATGGACTTAAACAGTCTCCAAGAGCCTGGTTTGACAGATTCACAAAGTTCATAAAGAAGCAAGGATTTAATCAAGCTCAAGCTGACCATACTTTATTCATGAAGTTTTCAGGTAAGGGGGAGATTGCAATCTTTATTGTCTATGTAGATGATATTATCCTCACAGGAAATTATCACACAGAGACTAAAAGATTGAAAGACAAACTTGCTCATGAATTTGAGATTAAAGACCTAGGAAATTTAAAATTTTCCCTAGGAATGGAGATAGCTAGATCAAAGAAGGGTATTGTTGTCTCACAAAGGAAATATGTTTTAGATCTACTACAGGAAACTGGAATGAGTGCCTGCAAACCAGCAGACACTCCAATTGACCCAAGTCAGAAATTGGGAGATATCAACGAGGGAAATCCAGTTGATATTCACCAATATCAAAGATTGGTAGGAAAATTAATATATCTGGCACACACAAGACCAGATATTGCATTTGCAGTAAGCATGGTAAGTCAGTTTATGCATCATCCTTTCCAAGAACATCTTGATGTTACTTACAGGATTCTGAGATACCTGAAGAGCTGTCCAGGGAAAGGATTGTTTTTCAAAAAGGGAAACAATAGAAAAATTGAAGCTTTTACTGATGCAGATTATGCTTGCTCAATATCTGATAGGAGATCTACTTCTGGATACTGCACCTATGTATGGGGAAATCTAGTAACCTGTAGAAGTAAGAAACAAAATGTGGTTGCTAGAAGTAGTGCAGAATCAGAATTAAGAGCTATGGCTAATGGAATATGTGAGTTACTCTGGATCAAACGAGTAATCACAGAACTAAAGATGGAGATTGAGCTGCCTATGAAGTTATATCGTGATAATAAAGCTACTATAAGCATTGCTCATAACCCCGTGCTACATGATAGAACTAAGCATATTGAAGTGGACAAACATTTCATTAAGGAGAAGATTGAAGCTGGAATCATTTGCACACCATTTGTATCCACTAAAGATCAAACAGCTGATATCTTCACCAAAGGGTTATTTAGACCTATATTTGAGCTACTTATAAGCAAGTTGGGAATGTATGATATATACTTACCAACTTGAGGGGGAGTGTAGAAAAATGTAACATATACTTGTTATTTTAATTACTTGTACATCCGGGACTGTATAGATAAGAATTAGAGTAGATAGAACTCTCTAAATAGTAGATAAGCTCACAGAATAGATAGAATAGATAGATCATATTTTTTAGGATCTGTAACAACTTAACTTTATCTGTAACTTGTATATATATCATAGCCGGATGGCTCAATAATAACCCAAGAAAGTTTTATTCCTAAAACTTACCGTTAACATAGTATGTCGTTCTCATTAATGGTATTGATGCTTGAATAATACACCCATATAATAGTAAGAACGCATTGACTATTCTCTGTGCAGACAGGGGCAATGGCACTTGGAAAGGATGCTCTAGTTCTTACACAGACTACAAATTCGAGATCAATTGCTTTCCTCTCGCAGTCATTAAATGAAGGCAAAGATGTATGTTGAGTAAAAATATTTTTACACCCTCTCCATCAAATATTTTCAATTAATGTTTTCCTATTTCTTGTTTTTCAGAATCTAGAAATTCCCATTATAAGTTACCGCAAAACTGGGCAGCTAATGGAGCTGGACACTGAAATTCAGGATGAGACTCTGGCAAAGTCTAGTTTGAAAACGATAAAGAAGTTTTCACCTTTTGACAAGTATTTCATTGGTGAAAAATTGGGCCTCTTTAGTGAACAAGGCACAGGAACACAGATATTTATATGGAATTTAGAAAAGTGGGGGTCCAATTATACCCTGGGATGGAATCATGGAATGAGTGGTGGAAGTTCGTTCCATCAAGGTGACATCTTTGTGCGTAACAAGCGAATCAGAACACGTCCCGGACAAATGACTCAAATGGTATGTTATTGAATTGCATATCTATATATTGTAAAGGTGTTTATTTATGAAGTCACAATTATCTATTTTTAGGTGCCATTGGACTATTCACTTAGGTCTTATCTACAAGTCATTTTTTTAAATCCGCGAATGAAGATATATGTCCAAGGAGCACAGGTATTCCTACATGAATCATTACATTTTATGGTTATATGGCGGAGTTATGAATTTCTGTTGCAGCTGAGTTACGTACGTTCAAGTTTAATGATCAACGTTATATTTAGGTTAAGAGTTGTCCATTAGCAAGGTCTCTTAATAAGACTGTTGTCGAGAACGGTATTATATTGGGAAGGCCAGTTCAACTTACGTTGGGGCGCAGTCAAATAGAATGGGAGAATGCTAACTGTGGGATTTTTCTATATTGGCATGGCCGTTTAATTGAGGTGCGCTCAAATACCATTTGTCTCAATTATTCTTTTAATTTGTTGAACAGTAGATACGTGTGTTTGATTTTTCGATACCTTTATTTGAACACGCATCAAGGCTAGTTAACTTTGTGTTGAATGGCTATCTGCTACAACTTGATAGTATTTTTTTTTTTCTTGCACACGATTTGGTTGGTCTAGGAATCAATACAATGAAATAGCTTAAATTGAGGAATGAAATAATCAGGACTGTTTTTTTTGCAAGTATACTGTGCTGATCATCATAGTACCAAATCACATAGTTCCTAAAGTTAAGCGATGAAGTCATTTGGTTTAATTGTGATTTCAGTTCCTCAAACAGGAGGTATTTTTTTGAATGATAACATCTCCATTAAATTTATTTATTACAAGCAATACGAATCACATATAACGAGGCAATTAAAATTAATTCCACTTCAGCCAAAAAATCCTCGTATGCATTAAATGCTCTTATCAAACATCAATCTAGTACACTGTTATTGTTATTTTACATTCTTAGCTGTTACAGGCTTACAAGAGAGTTGGAAGCATGATTCACAATGGAGATAATGGCCGTGGAATCATAGGTGTCATTGAAGTTGAGGCTGTAATGGTATACCTGCTCAAGTAACTATACCACTAATTACTATATTGTTTCCATTTCATATTTCTTTCCTGAACTATGAAATGCACAGATAGAACGATAAAATACTATTATATGTCACACTATTTAGGTCCTCATGGGAGCTTGCATTTCACAGCATATTGACATTATGGTCATGTGATGAAGAGTGAAATATAGTTCTGAATGTTTTCAATTCCTTGCTTTACGCTTTTTTATTTTGTTTCTCGACTCCTTTATTACTTTAGGCCCATTCTTCAGTTACAATGCTCTACTTTTCTAATCTTAGTGAAGCTGCAAAGTGGTTCTCAATGATGAACCAGCTTTAAGTAGTTTAGATTGCCATCTGTTCCAAGTTATTCTTTTTCAGCACATGATTTTTGTAAATTTCAAGTAACATACAAAGCCTTTGGAGTTTCGGTTGCCTCAAAATGGTACAGATATAGCCTATTTCATTTAATGTACACCTAATGCTTTCTAGATGTAGGGTAGTACGGTTAAATATTTCTACCTGCTAATCAATCATATATGAGCTGAATGGATCCATTATACTCCCTCTATCCCATAGAGGTTTGCCAAATTTGGCTTCTACGTGGAAGAATAAAGTAAAAACTAAAAACACTTGTTTTAAATCTGTATAGTAGAGAGAAATAATATGAACCACAATTTTGTTATTCTGAAAGGAAATGGGAAACCTTTTTGGGATTGATAAATAAGGAAAGTTGGCAGACCTTAGTAGTACGGAGGGATTGTCTCTTAACTCTCAGAGATTCAATTTGAATGCAATGATTTTGTAAGTCTTATATTAATAATTCATTGTTCAATTAGGTTCATATAATAAAGAATGGATACACATTGCTTGTATAGTTCTCTTAAAGATTTTTAGTTTGTGAATCCCTTATATTCTGGAATGCTGCAGATTGCTACTACGATTAATATCTCAATAACATCTCAAACTTACAACATTTAATGTAAATGAAATTTTTAGTCTTCCTATGTTTTTTACTTCTAATTTTAGCTTAATGATATGTCTTGATTGTAGAATGATGGCAGCGGCCGTGTTTTGGTGCATAACAATAAGCAGGGGTTCCTAGATTGCGAGGCCTATGTTAAGCTAAAGAGGTGGTTGGGTGAAACTGTGGATAACTACATTGATAAATATGTGGATAAAGTAGAATTGGTATGCTAATACAATTTCCACTCTAATTTATAATTTTGAAATAGAATAAATTGTACATGATCCTTTATGTATCTGTTTTTAATTTGATGATGAATTGGGATTAAGGCTTGATTGTTGTTGGAGAAGGCTCAAAAATGACACTAAGGTTATTTACGAAGTACAAATTAGACATTAAACTTTTAAGTGGACCAAATAAACTCATAATCAACTTATTTTGACTATATTTGGCCACTCACCTATAACTCCGTTAAACTCACCGTTAACTGCCCACACCTTAGTTGTCAATCCTTCACCCGCTTAGTCAACTCCGCCCACACCTCTATTTCACTTCCCCATCACCAAACATTTGGTCAGGCAAGGAGAGCTTGATCAGCAAAGACCTAGAAAGGAACAACCGGATGGATGGCAGTCTGGGAAGAACCAAATTCAGGGAAAACAGAATGGCCGCCGAGAAGGCAAAAGCGGGAAGGAAATCGAGAAAAAACGAGTTGGTAGGATGAGTAACCAGGAAATAGAAGAACGGTAAGGAGAGGAGAAGGATGAGGTGGAGGTGGACTCGGAGAACACGGCGGAGGTGACGAAGCTGATGGTAAGCTTGAACACCCATGATCCTAAACGAGGTAGATTGGCGCTTCGGCGGAGGGGGAGAAAAAGAAAATGGGTGTTTTCGCATAGATTCGCTCAAAGTGGGGGGAGATTTCACGAAGATCGAGGTGGAAGAGGACGAACTAGATGGGTTATTCGAGGAGGAGACTCCCAAAATTCTTGTGAGGCATGGTCTTGCCATTTTCCACCGTCTCCACGGGGGCAACAATCGAGTCATCTCCATCGTTGATGAGGATTTGAAGGGTTGTATGGTCAGTGTAATTATTCGGCGAATGAGAAAAAGAAGCCGGCGAAGAGGGGAAGCAGCCGCCGCCTCCGCTGGTAAAGAAGAAAGCTTGTGGGCTGAGGTGGGTATGCTGTTGGGGGTGTTTCTGGTGAAGCGAATCTGGAGAGTTGTGGGTCTTCTCTGGTGCTACTGGGAGAAGAAAGCGGAGAGAGCAAGGAATTTGGGTGAAGATGAATGGTAAGTTATAATTGACGGGAACGGCTATTAATTTAAGTGTGACTGAACGAGTGTCCTAATATGACATAAAAACGTATAACTTGTGTTTATTTGGTCTACTTAAAAGTTTAATGTTTAATCCGAACTTCGTAAATAACCTTAGTGTCATTTTTGAGCCTTCTCCCTTGTTGTTCAGATTGAAGCTTCTATCTCTATTGATAGAGGTAAGAGGATACAAATGTCCAACCATTTTTTTTACATGTTCGTAGGTGTAGTTCCTGAAGTGCTAACCTAAATCCTTGCTCTAACCCACCATGACAATTAGGGTTAATCCCTAACATCTTATACATCTTAAATTAATTGTTTTTCCTTAAAAAGTTATAATGGGCTAGGTTGGAGAGATGCACAGTCACACATGTTTAAATACACAAGTGTGTGTTTAAGTAAAGAATCTTTAATGAAGCGCTAGAATTTTCCCTTTGAGTTCAAGTAACTATTGTGTTTTGTATCAGAGAAAAGGTGGTCGTTTGTACAAACCTGATCATGAATGGGTGCAGTGCAACAAATGTAGAAAGTGGAGAGTGCTACCATCTGCCTTTGATGTTAGGCTTTTACCCTTAGACTGGTATTTCCTTTTGCTTTTCCCCCACTTTTGGATGTCAAGCTAATAAACATGCTTTTCAGCTTCTTCTAAATCAGCGCTGCTTTTACTGGCACCTAGCTTTGAATGTGTTGTTCTTAGAAGAATAATTTCATTGGGCTGTGACGACATAGTAACGACCCTTGTAATCAGCTTTGGTCCTCCAAGTGCATATTTTTCTTATTTTCTTTATGTTACAATTGATGCTATGCTACAGGTTTTGCTATATGAAACCCTTCAATGGGAAGTGTGAGATACCTGAGCAATCGGTTGGGGATGGAGTAATAACAGTCTCTTCGAAACGCTCACATCATACGATGAAAGAAGATTTAGTGGATTTTCATCAAGAACAATTCACTAAAGGTACTGCGGCATCTAAAGGTGAGTAGTGTAGTTTATGATATTATACTTATTGCGTGCACCTTTTTTCTTTCAGGGAATTGCATGCTAGGGAAACCGTTCTTATTTTACCCAGATTATTAGTTATAGGTTGAGGGATATAGATTACACAACTATCATCATCTTCTTTTTATTGCCGTGTGAAATGCAGAATCCAGTGGCGATGAGCTTGTGATCTCCAAGAGAGTAAGAAGATCGCGATCAAGGAGTTGCCGAAAAGCTTGAGCATTTTGAAACTCAAGAAGGAACGTAGTGTGAATAGGGCTCAGTTAGATTTTAACAAATGTAGATTAAGCTTAGAGAAGTGCAGTAGAAAGGTGGAAAACACGCTGGTGATGGTCCCACGCTGACAACGTTGCTTTTGTAATCAACTCCATACGAACTTGTGTTTCTCTGTAAAATATTCCAATATTGAAACTAGAGCTAATCACAACGCTCAGGTTTATTTTTATAAGAGTAGTTCAAAGTAAATCAGACAAGCTCAAATCATCACTCTTAAGCAGATTCTAGACTAGAACTGTGGTATAGATCAAAGAACCGTCCTAGCCTTGGTATGGTTTTAATCTTATCTTAAAATCTTATAATAGTGAATGAGAGTAGGGGTCTTTTAGGTATTAAAATTTCATTGGTGTGACATAAGCTATACTTGCACACTATGCTTTTAACTTTGTGCGCTCACAGGGCCTCTGCAAGTACCGGGGAAAAAAGCACCACATGTATTGTTCAACCTGAGGGGCACTTCAGGTACTTCAGGTCAAGTATCGGGGACAGAGCCCCACTCTCTATCTAGGGTTGGACTCGGGCTGGGTGGCCCGATCCGGAACCGGCCCGGGACCGACACTGTTCCGGCCCGGCCCGAACCGGTGGCCCGGTCAGTGACCGGTCCGGGTAGGCCCGACCCGGTGGGTTTCCGGTCCGGGCTCGGGTCACCCATAACAAGGCCCGGCCGGGTCTGGGCCCGGTTCGGGCCAAATTTATTTATTTTTGGTTTTTTTCATTTGTTTGGGCTCCACCGGGTTGGGCTTGATGTTTAGGAGGGGTTTGGGGGGTGGGAGGGTGAGGGGGGGGGGGGGTTAGGGATGGGTAGCTAAGCAAAAAAAAAAAAAAAATTAACCAAACCCGAGGCCGGACCCGGACCGGACCCGGTGGCTACCCGGGCCGGTCCCGGGTCCAGCTATATAGGACCGCCGGCCCGACCGGGCCTAGGCTCGGCCCGGGCCCGACCCGGCTCGAGTCCAACACTATCTCTATCTGTCGGATTGTGATTATAATCCAACTTGCATTCTCCCAACGTACCGTCCGGTCAGGAATATGTCAGTTCAATATACTTTCTCCCTAAGAAACATTTTTCTCCACTATGATACTGGAAACTCATAATTTCTCTACTAAACTATCTTTAGTTGGGTCAAATTATGGAAACTTTAAAAACAAAGGCTTCCATCGAGAAACTAATACAGTTTGTGTGATTAATTTTCTAATGCCAAACTTGTATTCTGTGATTGAGTGGTGAAGTACTATATACACTATTAAATATTTCCGATTCTTTTTTGGTTGATTAATGAAATGTTGAAATATGTTATGGATATAACAATGTGTGTTTATTTGTTCATATGACTATACTCTCTCAGAGTACATGTGATTGTACCCACCCTTAATCATTGTGTTCGTTTTTTTCAAAGAAATTTGGGCCAAGTCCTATAAAATTGTATCATTGTATATAGGCTGTAATTGATTTGGCCATTTTGCTAAGGAAATGTAATAATCTTACACAGTATAATAAGAGATCCTATAGTATGTTTATGTAGTTATATGCTCTAAGGTTTTCTATTTTACTGGACTAGAGTGTCCAGACAAACATAAATAGTCTTTTAAGTTTTAACCCCTTTAAACACCCTATAAATAGTATTTTAACCCCTTTAACGCCTTGTAGTATTTGTGCATTAGCACTTTCTTTTAATTATTTTGATCTTCATTTGACTTCTCCCGATTACTTATTTAGTTTTAGAGTATACCATTGTGAATTATGCACATTTACAATTGTAATGAATGGTGATTTAAATGTAATGAAAATATTTGTTTGATGTTACGATTATTTATTGCAAATAAAACATTTAGTATGATATATATGTAGAGTATATGTGTGTGTATATATATATACACACTTATGATACTGATGTATCATATCTTTATTATACCAAAGTGTCAAAAAAAATTATGATATTATAACGTCATAATTTTATGTGATACTTTATTGTCATAATTTTGTGACACTAATCTGTTTAGCAATCAGTGACACTAAATTTAGTGTCACTTGTTCGCTTTTCTGTGACACTTTCAGAGACACTTTTTGGCGTCACTATAAGTCATTTTTTTATTATAAGCCATTTTTTTACTAGTGTACCCTTCGCAACTAATCAGGCTTTCAACCGAGCAACAGGTCCGTCTAGTTTAACCTTAACAACAAAGACCCACTTACATCAAATAGACTTCTTACCTATATGCAAGTCTACCAAATCACAAGTACCATTAAGATCCAACTCATTCATTTCTTCTACCCTGACATGACACCATTTAGAATGAGACAAAGCTTCTTTCACATATTTGGGAACAAAAATATAATTAATGGAAGCAATAAAAGAACATGAAGCATGGGATAACTGACTATACGACACAAATGAGTACATGATCGTGTACCGACCTTTACGTAATGCTATTGAGAGGTCAAGATCTGACGTAGAGACAAGATCTGAAGAATGCACGTACTAGTTCAGGACATGAGATTGAGATCGGACCAGTATCAGGATAAGTAATATAATCACACGTGTCACATGTGGAGGGCGATCAAGTGCTTTATGTTGACGGGTGTATACCAAGTGTATCGGAGGCTTAGGGTCAGGAACAGTAACTTGTGGAATAATTCTCGAAAGTGTAAACTCAGTGTTGGGTTAATGGCCCAACAGGGATTGGCCCATAAACCCATAAGGTCCAACCTACGAACGTCTCCAGAGACAAAAACAACAGGGAATGCCTACCCCAGAACAAGCGGCGAACATCCCCTACGGGCCACCAGGGTCCAATCCTATGGATAGCGGGGTACGAAGGTTCAGGGGGGCTGCACGACGTTTGGTGTCTGGAACTTGAGGCCAGGCGGAATGCAGAAGGCAAGCTTACGGGGACTCTCGTCTCCACCCTTTGGCGGGAAGCCAAGATTCTGGCAGGAAGCACATTTAATGCAGAGATTTGGTGATTGAGACCCCAACCATCCACAGCTCGCCACGTAAGTTTATCCAACTACCCATTGGTGTTATAAATAGCAGCATTTATTTCATTGTAAAGGGTTGGCAACTTAGCACTCTAGCATTCTAGCAATTATATCAGCTCATAGCATAGCTCTGTACAAACGACATCTCGGCTTTGTAACCCTTTCAGTGCATCAAGACTTCTTATTGGACCTTTTTTGCTTGTTTCTACATCTACTTCGATACTTCTTCCATTCGAAACCCTTGGGTCGTGTGTTGGGCCTACGGGTTGAAGGAATAAACCTCAACACTTAGGTATAGTCATCGTGTTAATGAGTATATCATCATTATTGTCATGAATATTTGCCTTAGATGATGAAAATTGTGTATTTTCATGAAATGACACATCAATAGAAACAACCTACCGACCTGTAATTGGACAGAAACATCTATACCCCTTTTAAACTCAAGAATAACCTAAGAAATTAAAATACATTTTAATGATTTGGGACTTTCAAAAAAACTAGTATTGCATATATAAAAATGAAAAACCAGTTTGGCACTTTAAAAAATAATTTGGCTTTTAAAATGTTGTAACTTTTTTATTTGTACTCTGATTGTCATAAAAAATATCAAAACTCATAATTATTTAGTACCTTCAGAATGACACTAATATTACATATACAAATAAAAAAGTGAAGATGCGGCTAATAAAGGGTTTTAGCTCAAATTTTTAAATTTGAAAAAAGAATTTGTGACCATATTTTCAATTTTTTATATTTTTGTATGTGTAATATTGGTGTTAGATGAAAGATATTAAAAAGTTATGAGTTTTGATATTTTTTGTGACAATTAGAGTACAAATAAAAAAGTTACAACATTTTGAAAGACAAACGTTTTTAAAGTGTGAATTTATATATATATATATATATATATATATATATATATATATATATATATATATATATATATATATATATATATATATATATATATATATGCAATATTGGTCTCATTTGAAAGATAATAAAAAGTTATGAATAAAATTGGTATGCTAATACAAGTTCCACTCTAGTTTATATTTTTGAAACAAAATATATTATAATGGGTTATTTTAGAATCTCTTATTTATATTTATAGTGGTAAGAAGATACAAATGTCTGACTAATTTTGTATATGTTCGTAGGTGTAGGTCCTCAAGTGTTAACCTAAATCTTTGTGATAATCCATCATTACAATTAGGGTTAATCTCTAACATCATACACATATTAAATGTTTTTCCTTAAATTGTTAACGGGCTATGACGGAGAGATGCACAGTCAAACATGTTTAAATACACACCTGTGTGTGCTTTAGTAAAGAATATTTAATAAAGCGCTGGAATTGTTCGTTTGATGATTTCAAATAACTATTGTGTTTTGTATCAGAGAAAATGTGGTCAATTTTACAAACCCGATCATGAATGGGTGCAATGCAACAGATGTAGAAAGTGGAGAGTGCTACCATCTGTCTTTGATGTCAGGCTGTTAGAGAATATTTTATGGTGTGCAGACATGTTTTACATAATTGTATTTGTGCTGTAATTAGCTTAATTAATATGTCAGACCAATTTAATGTTAGGGTCTCATTTATCTTCTATGCAAGCCTATTGTAATCGGATCCACCTACAAAGGCATATAAAGTATAAAGATTGAGACTCGAAACCCTAACGAAGTAGTGAACTAGGCATTGACGCATACATCATGCGTTAGATAGAAGAGAGAGTTGTATCCGCCCATTCATACATAGTAGCAAAATCTTCTTCATTTTGGTATTGAATCGGAGTTCTATTCTTCTATATTCTATTGTTTGATCGTTGAATTGAGATTTACAATTGGTATCAGAGCTGTAGATAGTTGGCCTAATTGATGTTGAAGATCATAACTACGGTCACGCCCACTAACCGAAGTATGCGCTTCAGCTGAGAAACGGGAACACATTTAGATCTAAGAGGGTGGCCGACCATCAGTCAGGCGATAAGACATAATCAAATAAAGTGCTGGTACAAGAAATTTGAAATCTCAAGACAAAACCACTCACTCTTGGTATAGATGCACCGAAGAGATACATGCTTAGAGAAGTCCGTTTTCATACTTCCTAGCATCTCCAAATTGCTGTAGAAAACAATCTTCCAAAGGTCAACCTCACGCGCCCTCTATGCTACATCAAGGAACTTGAAGATCTTCCTGTGAACTACAAATACATAATAGATGATGATCCAGACTTTGAAGCTATCTATCTGACGCACAAACATGAGAATAGAA